CCCCCACTCCGTCACCCCACCCTCACGCAACACCCAAGGCGGGTGTCCCCTCTCGTCCTCGGTGAAACGCGGGGTGACATTTCCTAAGAACGGAACTCACCCATCCTCTGACATCCCCCCACGGCCGCCCCTGCCCCGGCCGGAGTCCGCCCTCTGACCTCCGGCCGCCCGGCTCCTCATCCTGGGGTTCCGAGTCCCTGCCCTTCACCCCATGGTTCCCTTCGCGTTCGACGGCGGAACCCACAGACCAGATGGAGGGAAGTGGACATTTTTTAAAAAAAAACTATTTTTAAAATTTATTTCAGAGAGGAAGGGAGAGGGGAGAGAGAGAAACATCAGGGATGAGAAAGAATCACTGATCAGCTGCCTCCTGCACGCCCTACGCTGGGGATCAAACCCGGGGACCCTGGGGCCTGTGCCCTGACTGGGAATCGAACCCGGGACCCTTCGGTCCCCAGGCTGACGATCTATCCACTGAGCCACACCAGCTGGAAACCACCTTTAAAGCCTTCGGCCTCGGGGTCGTTCTGTGAGGCTCGGGTTCGGGGTTGGGTCCCGTGTTGGCTCCCCTCCCTCCCTCCCACCTGCGGCCCCGAGCTTTCTCTCTGTTGCTTCTCCCCTGCACCCCTCACCCCCCCAGCCCCCGCCCTGTGGGGCCCACGCCCTTGTTTACGAGCCGGCTCCCCGCCCGCCGCCTGTGGTCTCAGAGAGGATGGGCGGCCCCTCAGCCCGCCATCGCGCCCAGGATAGCTCCGGAAGAGGAAAGGGCTGCTGGGGGGGGGGGGGGAGCGGGAGGGGGGGGCGAGGGGGGCGGGCAGGCGGGCGTGTGCCCGGGGACACACACAGGCTGCCGGGCCTGCGGCCGGAGGGCTCAGAGAGGAGGGGCGGGGCAGGAGGGCCTGGGGGGGCCGGGCCCGTGACATAGATCCCGGGTGTCTGACCCCCCTGAGCGCGGCGCACACGACGGGGACCGGGGCCGGGGCAGGCGTGTCTTCAGAGGAGAGAGGCGGTGCCGACAGGCCTCCTCGGAGCCGAAGGAGGACCGTCCGGGTGAAAACACGGAGAACGTGGGCTGGCAGCGGTCACGGGCAGCTAAACAGAGAAGAAGGAGTGCACACGTGTGGCCGCATCTGTGCTCCCCCATCTCATGTCAGTGACAACGGCACCCAGGGACATGTGCCAGGCATGCACACACGTGACGATGGCCTTTACCTGGCAGGGGAGAAGACCGAGGGCGGCCACGGGTCAGGGTTCCGCGTCACGGATCCGGCGTCGGATTCCGTAACTTCACACGGAGCCGGGCGGGCGCAGAGCCGGACGGGAACTTGGTTCTGTCCGATCAGAGCCGGCCCTCTCATGCCATTAACGCCGGCGCGGCTCCTAGGAGCCAGGAGGTCAGGGTTCATTCCCGTCAGGGCACAGGCCCGGGTGGTGGGCTCCATCCCCAGTGTGGGGCGTGCAGGAGGCAGCCGGTCCATGATTCTCATCCTGGAGTTTCTCTCTCTCTCCCTCTCCCTCTCTGAAATCAATTAAAAAAAAAACTTTTTTTTTAAGAAGAGGACTAGGGCCCTAACCGGTTTGGCTCAATGGACAGAGCATCAGCTTGCGGACTGAAGGGTCCCAGGTTTGATACCGGTCAAGGGCATGTACCTTGGCTGTGGGCACATCCCCAGTAGGGGGTGTGCAGGAGGCGGCTGATCAATGTTTCTCTCTCATCGATGTTTCTAGCTCTCTATCCCTCTCCCTTCAATAAAATATATTTTAAAATAAAATAAAATAAAATAAAGAGGACTATTCTGCCCTGCAGGCCTCCCAGCACCTGCAGTAAGTGACCCTGAGCGTGGGTCCCACAGCCAAGAGGGACCCCTAAGCCCTGGGGGGGGGGGGGAGGACAGGAGGGCTGTGTCCCAGGAGGTGGCGCCCCCTCTCTCGGACGAGGAAATGGGGCCACCGTTAAACATTCTGACCCCTCAGGCCCCGCAGCTGGGTTGTGGTGTTTGTGGCTAGACACGTTTTATGTATTTTCAACGGCGGGGTTACCCCAAGATAAGATCCTTTCTGGTCTGGCCTTCTTTTTCTTTCTCCATCCCAGCCACTCCTCATAGTTTCAATTCCTCTCTCCCCCTTGGTTCTGCTTTCTGCCTCTGGGCCTTTTTCCCGCCTAATCGTTCACATTCCTGTCCCTTTGAGGACCAGTAACAAGGCCTCCTCGGTGTCAGTCGTGGGGAACATGGCAGCGGCTGCGTCGGGGACAGCGTTGAGTTGAACCTGTGAAAACCAGCACGGCAGTGTTGCCTCCTGGCATGAGGACTCGGGGGGCAGCGATCAGCTCCTTGTTTATTCCTTGTGAACATTTCGGCACCGTTTGCTGCTAGAAATAGAAAATAAAAAAATTACCGCCTAGCTGGTGTGGCTCAGTGGATGGAGCGCCGGCCTGTGGACTGAAGGGTCCCGGGTTCGATTCCCAGTCAGGGCACAGGCCCGGGTTGTGGGCTCAATCCCCAGTGTGGGGCATGCAAGGGGCAGCGGATCTATGACTCTCTCTCATCACTGGTGTTTCTCTCTCTCTCTCCCTCTCCCTTCCTCTCTGAAACCAATAAAAAATATATTTTTAAAAATGTGCCATCTGTGAAGTGCGGGGAGGAGGAAACTGTCAGCCACGGCGAGCGCCCCTCCCCGGGGCCGGCGTCACCGCCCTCCGTGTCCGCGTCCCAGCATCGCCCACGGAGCAGCAGACCAGGCGGCTGCAGTCAGACATCGTCCTTCCAGGCGCTGGGTGCGGGAGCTGCCACCACGCCCGCCCGCCGAGCATCCAAACCCCAGGACGCGGCGACCGGAACGCCGGGGGACCCTCCCTCCGTGCGGGGCCGGGGGCGGGGGCGGGGGCGGCCGCTGTGGAGGACGGTGTGCGCCGCGGCCCTGACCCAGAGGGCCCCCCGGACTCTCCCGGCCTCCCCGGCGCCAGGCGGTGGCGGCAGCTTCGCCCCTCACTCCGGGGGCCACCAGGATGCCCCTCCGGGCGGACGGTCTCACACGGGCCGGGAAGACACGAGGGAGACGCAGGCGCCCGTGACCAAACCGCACGCTCCGCTCCCTGACGCCCGGAAAGGCGGGGCCGTGGACACGGCGCAGAGGCCGGCGGCAGCGGACACACAGGCTGAGCGCCGGAACGGCTCTGTGTGATGCGGTCACGGTGGACACATGACATTGTGTGACCGTCCACCACCAGGACCCACACCACCGGGAGCAGACCCGGAGCTGAGCAGGGGCCCCTCGGCGATCGCTGATGTGCCCCCGACAGGGATGCTGATGTGGGGAGGAGGGGGGAGCCGTCCCCGTGCGGGAGGCTGTGAGCCTGTGCCTGCCCTAAGAGGAACGTCCACGAAAGCACGTCCACGTTCCCAGCAGCTCCCAGTCAGTGACCGTCCAGCAGGGAGTGCCTTGGGTCAGGGATAGAGCGTCCAGGATAACCCCAACCCCAACCCTAACCCTGACCCTGACCCTGACCCTGACCCTGACCCTAACCCTGACCCTAACCCTGACCCTGACCCTAACCCTGACCCTCACCCTCACCCTCACCCTCACCCTCACCCTCACCCTAACCCTAACCCCAACCCCGACCCCAACCCTAACCCTGACCCTGACCCTAACCCTGACCCTGACCCTGACCCTGACCCTAACCCTAACCCTAACCCGACCCCAACCCTGACCCTGACCCTGACCCTGACCCTAACCCCAACCCTAACCCTAACCCTAACCCTAACCCTAACCCCGACCCCAACCCTGACCCTGACCCTCACCCTGACCCTAACCCTAACCCTAACCCTAACCCTGACCCCGACCCCAACCCTGACCCTGACCCTGACCCTGACCCTAACCCCAACCCTAACCCTAACCCTGACCCTGACCCTGACCCTGACCCTGACCTCAGGCCTGTGCCCTGCAGCTCCATGCGCGCTTCCCGCGCTCCTGGCCTCCGAGGTCTCCCTCCCCAGGGACCCCGGATGGAGCTGCAGGCCCCTGGAGATTTGGGCCTGAATAGCTCCCAAACTCAGCACCTGGGCATCGGCTACGGTGCCACTGCCCGCCCTCCCCCACGCTCAAGGCTGCTCCTCAGGGGAGGGGGGCTGCCTATTGGGTCTCATCGTCTCCTTTATTTTTTAAAATATATATTTTATTGATTTTTTTGCAGAGAGGAAGGGAGAGAGAGAGTTAGAACATCAATGAAAGAGAAACATTGATGATCAGCTGCCTCCTGCACACTTCCTACTGGGGATGTGCCCGCAACAAGGTACATCATGCCCCTGACCGGAATCGAACCTGGGACCTTCCAGTCCGCAGGCCGACGCTCTATCCACTGAGCCACACCGGTCCTGGCCCCATCTTCTCTCTCAGCGGTCAAGTCTGCAGCCTCTGGCTGGGCCGGGACTGGGCACGGGCGTTGTTTGACCCAAACCGGTTACCCACGCGTCGGCCACGGGTTTAACGGACCAGGAAGGGCCTGGCGGCCGGTGGACCCTGGTGTCAGGCCGCCCGGTCCGGAAAGCCGGTGCTCGGGAGGAGGCCCCCGAGGCCTTGTGCGGAGAAGGCTGGGTCCCTCCCGGGGGCAGATGCACTGTCCCTGCAGCTGGGACGGAGGACCGTGAGCCCCCGATCGTCACAGCCCTTTGTGTCCGGTCCCCGCCCGGCCCGGCCCGCCTTCCTCTGTGGGCGGACGGTGTGAACCTGCGGCTTTTCACAGACCTCTCCGCGCCCGGGGGGAGCGGGCTCTGGGCGGGACCCCCGCTCTGCAGCCCCCGAGGGGGCCGGGGCGCCCGCCTGGAAGGCAGGCTCCAGAGGCTGGGGGGGCGTGCCCACGCAGGAGGCTGCCTCTGGGGCGGAGCGGAAGCTGCCCGCCCCGGCTGAGGCCAGGGGGAAGGAAGCGAGCGCTGGGGCTCCGGAGGCTGGGCACCGGGCTGCCACGGCGCGACCGCCTCGCAGGCAGGATGCAGGCTCCGGAGCCGGAGCCCGGGGAGCTCCTGGGCGAGGAGGAGGAGGAGGACGTGTTCGGGGAAGGTAAGCGCGTCTCCCCGGAGGAGCCGGGCCGGCGGGCCGGGCAGGGACCCGGGACCTCGGTGGCTCCGGACGGGACGGCGGGTGGCGTGGCGGCACCGATCCACCGCGGCGCCCTCGGAAGGCGGCAGAGGGGGCGAGGGAGGCACGGTTCCGCTCCGGCTTTGGTTTGGGTCGTGACTGCACGGGTTGGGGTTAGCTTGGAGAATAGGACTGGCTCTCCCGCCTCCTCCTCCATGCAGTGGTTCTGTGCAGTGGGTTCTGTGCAGTGGGTTCTGTGCAGTGGGTTGTGCAGTGGGTTGTGCAGTGGGTTGTGCAGTGGATTCTGTGCTGTGGGTTGTGCAGTGGGTTGTGCAGTGGGTTCTGTGCAGCGGGTTCTGTGCAGTAGTTCTGTACAGTGGTTCTGTGCAGTGGTTTTGTGCAGTGGGTTCTGTGCAGTGGGTTGTGCAGTGGTTTGTGCAGTGGGTTCTGTGCAGCGGGTTCTGTGCAATGGGTTCTGTGCAGTGGGTTGTAAAGTGGATTCTGTGCTGTGGGTTGTGCAGTGGATTCTGTGCAGCGGGTTCTGTGCAGTGGGTTGTGCAGTGGGCTGTGCAATAGGTTGTGCTGTGGGTTGTGCAGTGGGTTGTGCAGTGGGTTGTGCAGTGGGTGCAGTGCCGGCCAGAGCTCCCAGCAGGGCTTCCAGGGGCAGGTGCTCACGGGGTCCAGGGAGTTCTCCGGGGAACCCTCCTGCTCTGACCTGCACGCTGGCCGCTCCCCTCCGGATCTGTCCCTCACTCTTCCTCCGACCCCAACTCTCCCTGCCTCCCCTCTTGCTCCGGGCGGGAGCTGGGGCGGACCTCCCCCATCTCCCCCACCTGCGGGCTGGCTCTGCGGCTTTCCCTCAGGCAGCGGGAGAGCGGGGTGCGGCCCCGGGTGACTGGGAAGCGTGTGATTTTAGGTGATAACCGGTGACCACAGCGTGGCCTTCGGGGCTCCGCGGAGCTGAGTGCTCTTCGGAAACTGTGAAGGCGTTCACGGGGCACTAGCTGGCCGGGGCACCCCCTCGCAGGCAGTCCTCGGGGACGCCCAGCCCCGATGCGCCCAACCCTCTGGCCACCGAGGCGAGCAGGCTGTCACCACCATCGGCATCTGTCTGTCTGTCTGACCCTTTGTTCTCCGTGCACTGGGGTGTGGGCCTGATCCCAGGAGCCTCGGTGAGTCCGAGGAACACCTCCGGCCTCAGCTGTTCCCGATTCTCCTGTTGCCGACTCGGTCTCTCCTGCAGCTGGACCTGAGGGTCCGCTGTTCCCGTCGGAGGTGTTTCCCTGCGGGGCTCAAAACAAAACGGCCACAACCAGGGCCGAAAGCCGAGGTCGGGCATTTCCTTCCCCAAACGGGGTTCTGGGTTACAGCCAGCGACCGTGCTAACGGGCGCCGCCTACAGACGGACGAGTGCACTGCGGGCTGTGTGCGCCCCACCCAACCGCAGAGGTCAGGTGGCAGCAGGGAGCCCCTGAGCACCCACAGCCCTAGGGGAGCACACACAGGCCTAGGAGAGCACCCACAGGCCTAGGTGAGCACCCACAGCCCTAGGGGAGCACCCACAGCCCTAGGGGAGCACCCACAGGCCTAGCTGAGCCCCCACAGGCCTGGGTGCTTCAGGCCTTCGGCTCTGAGGCGCTGAGAGCACAAGAGGTGGTGGGCGCAGAGTTTCCTCCCCACAATGGAAGATAAGTGCCCAGGAGCCTGTTGCTAAGGCAACGCTGTGTCCTCGGAGTGGACACGATCTTAAGGACATTCCCCCGGAAGGGGCTGGGGTTGGGAATGCAGGCCCGTTTGGCTCAAAGTGGAAACAAATTCATTCCAACGTACGAACCCATGATGACCTGGGGAGGGGGCAGAGGAGTGAGCTCACAAAACGCATTTTTAACGGCCTCCGAGGCCCTGTGCGCCGCCCTGTCGTGTTCTGTGGTGAGAGGATGCTCGGGGACAGAACGAGAGGCCGTGGGTGTGGCTCTGCTCTCGGAGGGGGAGGAGGTGCCTGTGGTTAGAGAGAAGCTGGGATGCACCTGCCCCAGAGCCCCGTGTTTATTTACGCCCCCCCCTCTCTGTCACACACACACACACACACACACACATTCTCTCTCTGTCACACACACACTCTCACACACACATACACACACACACACACACAAACACACACATTCTCTCTCTGTCACACACACACTCTCACACACACATACACACACATACACACACAAACACACACATTCTCTCTCTCTGTCACACACACACACACACAAACACACACATTCTCTCTCTGTCACACACACACACACACACACAAACACACACATTCTCTCTCTGTCACACACACACACACATTCTCTCTCTGTCACACACACACATACACACACAAACACACACATTCTCTCTCTCTGTCACACACACACACACTCTCACACACAC